CCATCCCATAATAATCAAGTTCTCAAAGACACAACAACAGGAAGTGACCAACATCCCATAATAATCAAGTTCTCAAAGACACAACAACAGGAAGTGACCACCATCCCATAATAATCAAGTTCTCAAAGACACAACAACAGGAAGTGACCACCATCCCATAATAATCAAGTTCTCAAAGATACAACAACAGGAAGTGACCATCATCCCATAATAATCAAACTAGAGTTAGAAGCACAGAGGTATGATACGAGGGGAACACAAAAATGGAATTTCAATAACGCTAACTGGTTAACATTTTTGGAAGTAAGTGATAAGGAAATGGCAAAAATAGATTTAAATGTAGATACTGACCAATTAAATACAGCAATATGTTCAGCTATTATGGAGGCAGCAAACAAATCAATAAAGAAGAAAGGAGGAAAGAATAAGAAAAAAATAGTACCATGGTGGACAAAABAATGTGAAAAAGCAATTAAGTCACAAAATAAAGCTTTTAAAATGCTAAAAAGGAATCACAATAATCAAAATCTAATAGAATATAAAAAAAGTGAAAGTATGGTAAGAAAAACTATAAAAATTACGAAAAAAGAATATTGGAGAGGTTTTTGTAGTTTGGTGGGACGAGAAACTGAAATTTTTTCTGTTTTTGTTTTTTCATCTCTTTACTATCACATTATTTTTTCTCTTATTTCTTTATTTCTAATGCAACGAATACTTGCACACAGGTGCACAAACCCACACATGCTCATATTCCATTAATCAAAATACTTAATAATAAAACATATGCTTCATTTAACTTCAAATACATCACAAACATTTTTTTATATATCTTACATGCTACATAGGTATTCTCAAAATCTTGACTAATCATCACTCACTGTCAATGACTGTCTCTGAGTGTCCCTACTGTTATGATAACGGGCGTGGTTTAATTTTATTCTCACAAATACTGTGATGGGTTGTTTAAGGTTTGTCACATGGAATATAAACGGAGCCGGTACCCAACAGAAAAGAAATAGAATTTTTAACCAGCTTAAAAGATTAAAGATAGGTGTTGTATTACTACAAGAAATTCATAAATTAAATTCAACTGTAGATGATCTTAAGTCTCCTGAGTTCCCTAACGTATTCTCAGCCTGTTATAATTCAAGACAAAGAGGGGTAGCAATATTAATACATAAAAATATCAACTTCACAGTATTAGATACAGTTAATGACCCGAAGGGTAGATATATAATATGAAAATTTTCTCTATTTAGCCAAAAATACTGTATTGCAAGCATTACACAATCCAAATGTGGATGATACCTCATTTTTTCACGATTTCTTTTCTGTTCTATCAAATCACCTGGATTGCTCACTGCTTCTTGGAGGTGATTTCAACTTTGGTCTAAATAACAATATTGACAGGACAAATACAGCTGGAGCTCAGCGCAGTTGGCAATCCACAAACATAGTTAAACAATATATGAGTGATTATGGACTTTGCGATGCATGGCGTGCTCTTCACCCTGACAACAAAGAATATACGTTCTTCTCACATGTTCATCACTCTTATTCTCGCCTGGACTATCTTTTAGTCAGCAGTTCATTGCTGACCAATATTTTAGNTACTACTCTTCACCTAAACTGACCGAGTCAAAAGAAAAATAAGATAAACATAGATATTTGTGAACACGTGGCACTGCAGCCGTGCAAAAGGTGCACAGGCAAAGGCTGACTTGCAATTTGTCACAGGCTCATAAAAGTAGCTGCGGAGTCAACAGGAACCTGATTCTTGTGTGCGCATTGA